TGTTCTGAGCACCTCGCATTTATTACTTCATCTAGTCCCAGAGTTACTGCAGGTGCCTCGGTATGCACATGTTGAAGATGACATTGAGGCACAGAGAGGTTAAGCCACTTGCCCGAGCTCACACAGCTAGGAGATAGTGGGGCCAGAGCTTGAACCAGGGAGTGAACCAGCCAAACCTCACACCGTGAAGTCCAACCAGGTCACCAGGCTGGGGACTCAAAGAGGAGCTATGAAACATGGATTTGTGTCCTGGCCGACCACAAAGAACCACACACTGCGTGGCCTCAAACAACAGGCATGCGTTGCCTGGTGCTTCGGAAGCTGGGACGTCCAAAATCAAGGTGTTGCTGAGCTTGGGGCCCCTAGAAGCCTCTGTTCCTGCTCCCGTGCATTTGTGGCTGCCAGTCAGCCTTGTTCTTTGACCTGCAGACAAGTCATGCAGTCTCTGCCTCAGTTTCTCGTGTTCTCCCAAGGTGTGTGTCTGTGACCAGTTTCCCCTCTCCTTTTAAGTACACCAGCCACGGGGTGAGAGTCCATCTCTTGGTGTGGCGTTTAGGTGTGCCTCTGTTATCTGGTCCTACAAGCTGTTTAATATCTCTAGTACCAATGGCTTAGAAATCCTTCTGGATGTTCTAAGGTCCTGCGACATATGTGGCTGTGTCCTTTTTGACATTGCAATCGTCTTTGAAGAGAAAATTCCTGTGCAAAATCTTTAGGTTTTTAAGGGAGAAGAAGTCTTTGGGAATTTCCAGAGCTTGCCTGCAGGTTCAGACACCTCAGGGAAGTTCAGGAAAGTGAAATCGAGCTGTGTGTGTGTGTCTAAAACATACAGAGGCACTTGCATGATTAAGTAAAACCACAGGGACAGAGTGAGGAAAGAGTCAGGGACTCAGAGGTAACAGCCCTTCCCTGCACAGCTCCCCCCAGGAAGGGCGGGATGTCTTTGTGCACCTCAGCCTCCCTGTGAGATCCTTCTAGGCCTCCTGTCTCAAACTGCAGCCCCCACCGCCCCGCTCCTCAGCCCCCTTCTCAGATGGATTTCCCCCCATAGCACCTTAGCAACCCCCTTGTGTCTCACGAGTGCCTGTTGGGTTTCTAACCGGCTCCCATGGCAGAGTGATGGAGCTCTGGGGGTGCCCACAGATTCTGGTTGGATGACTCAGCCCATAGATGCACCTGCCAAGAGCGAGTGGTCAGAGCGAGTATGTTGGAGCAACCAGGGGCAGCTGTCCTGGGCAGAGGGGCCTGGGCAGAGCCTGGAGGCAGGCAGGAGGCAGGCAGGATCAGGCAGGAGGGAGATAAATCTGGCCTTTCCTTTCCACTAAAGGCACAGGAGTGAGGGGGCTTCTGGAGAAGAGGCTTGGGTGTAACTCCCCCTAGAAGGGCCAGCAAATGTGGGGAGCGGGTGCCCTGTCCTGAGCAGAGTCCCTGGGCCTGGGCACTCCCTTCGGATTCTTGGGGCAGGGAAAGGGGACAGAGAAAAACCAGTCGGTCGGGTACAGCGGGCGTGGACTGTCCTTGCTCTAGAGCAGAAACCTTGGCGGCTCCCTGGGCACAGAGCCAGGGTGGCAGTGCCGGGAGGGGCACCTCGAATTCCCACTGCTTACCCAGCAGCTTCATCGATCTGCAGGGGCTTTGCTTGCTGAGCTGGAACCCAGAACAGGCCTGGAGGGCAGGGTCCAGCTGTCTCACGTTAGCACTTCCCGGAGTAACTCCCCAGCCCGGCTCCAGAGAGGTCCATGGGGCCCAGCCCCTGCCAGGCTGCTCCAGGCGTCTCCCGCTGAGCTGGAGTTCAAAAATGGGAAATAAATAGCAGAGGAATGAGCGAGCCGAAAGGGCAGGCCCTTCCTGATCTCCTGGGGTGGGGGTGAGGGTGGGTGGAGGTGGGCACCAAGTGGTTATTGTGGCCGGGCGACTCCCAACTGGCAGGTGTCCATGGGTGGAACCCAAACTGGTCTCCTCTTGATTTTCAGCCCATGGCATTTCCTAACTTCCTTTTGCACGGTCGGGGCCGGGGGCGGGACCAGGCCTCACACGTCAGCGGCGGCAGGTGGGGTCCTGGGGAGGGGTCCTGACCCGAACCCCAGCGGCACTGCCTCGGTCATGTCTTCTGCACACAGGGACCTCCCTCCGCTGGGGGTCTCTTGGCCCCGGTTTCACGCAGTGGTGGTAAAATGGGGGAGCTCAAGTAGAGGTACTTGATAAGGGCTCTGTGTCCCCCCAAGTCCCTGTAAGTGCTCCCCAAGGCCACTGCTGTCGCCTGTTAGTGGGCAAGCACGGGCTGGCTGGCTGGAATCTGGCATGTGAGGGGCAGACACAGAGCTCTGGAGAGCTGACACCTTCCTGGGCTCTTCCAGGGCTGAGACCTGGGTGGAGGGAGGCCAGGCCTGGCGCACCTGCTTCCTCACTGGCACCCAACCCCTTGCAGGCTGGTGTGGGACTGTTTCTCTGGTGAGAACCCCGCACCCTCCTGACGCCACCCTGTGCCCTGTGTGTGGAGGGAAGAGAAGCTGCCGCACCCTCCCCAGCTTGGTTCACGGGGCAGGGGAGGAGCCTGGACTGTTGTGGGGCTCAGCTCAGGTGCCTCCTGCCCTGACCCTACCTGTGTAGGGAGTCCAGTTGGAAATTCCCTTTGGCCTTTTGTGGGGTGCTGGCAGGCAGCTGTACCTTCAGATGAACACTCTCCCCAGTCTCAGGGTCCAGGAGCTGGTGGCAGCCCACAACGGGCATGAGCAGTTAGGGGAGCCAGGCCCCTGAAACCATAGCCAGCGGGGTCTGGCACAGCCCCACACCAAGAGGGGACCTGGTGCGTCCCTGCTGGAGGCGAGGAGGTCAGTGTCACTAGGTGCCTGAATGTCGGCCAGGCCAGCCAGAGAGGAGGGTCAGCTTGCTGGACGTTTTCTTTCTTTTTTTAAAGATTTATTTTTGCGGGTCCTCCCTGGTGGCACAGCACTGCACTAAGAAGCTAAAGCCACCTCCGCATGAGTTCGATCCCCGCCTGCCCCGGAGGTGACCACATGGCGTGGCAGACCTCTCCTGACCCGCCCGCTGCTCCCCTCAGCAGTGTGCTTTGTCAATCTGCCTGTTCTGCTCTCCGCTCTGTCTCTGGTGAAGCCTCTCACCCTCCACATCTCTGGCCTGTACCCCAGTTCTGTATGAAAAAAGATTTATTTTTGCATGCAAGAGCTGGGGTGCAGGCTAGAGGTGTGTGGGTGGGTGGATCCATCAGAGACAGAGTGGGGAGCAGAACAGGCAGATCCACAGAAATCCACTGCTGAGGGGAGCAGTGGGGAGACAGGAGAGGTCTGCTGCACCCTGTGGGTTACTCCCTGGCCAGGGATCAAACTTGTGCTGCAGAGGCTGAGGACAGCTTCATAGTGCTGAGACTTAACCCTTGAGCTACCAGGGAGGCCCTCGCTGGGCATTTCTATTAGCTAAGATCCTTTCTCCTGTGCCAGGCCCTTCCTGCCTCTCCCCTCCCTGACCAGAGCCCCACCTAGCTCCCGGCCATTCCAGAGAACTGTGCTGGTGAAGGGACACCAGCCTAGGGGTGAGAGGAGGCTGGATGGCTGCGTGTCCCATATCGCTGTGGATCTTCCCTGGGCAAGCTGGGCCTGCCTTGGAGCAGACCCCTTGAGCAAGGAAGGGGCGGCCCCCAGGTGCCCCTGAGGAACACCCTCAAGGCTACAGGTTGGGGCTACTAAAAGCCCCATGCCCCCTTACTGGACACGAACCAGGGGTCCTTAATGCAGCCCTGTGAGGTAGCAGGTACGGCCATCACACCTATCCAGCAGGTGAGGTGAGGCGAGCAGAGCAGAGAGGTTTCAAGCTTGCCCAAAGTCATAGCTGGCGAGGGGGGCTGGCTTTAAACCAGGCAGTCGGCTCCAGTGTCCACGCTGTTAGCTAAATTGGGGTGTTGGGGCCCACTCTTCTTGTGTGTGACAGAGAGGTCCCTTGACTTCTCTGAGCCCCAGTTTCACCTGTAAGGTGGCCATGTGTAGACAGACATTAGGAGAGTCAGCGAAGTGGGGGGCAGAGGGTTTCATGGGGTGCCAGAACCGGATGGAGAAGGACACGGGCTCTCAGTTGCCCACCGCTGGGACTGTATCCACCCCTCAGGGATACCCTGGTGCGTTTCTCTCACAGCTGCTGTTACAGGGTGCCCCAGTGTGAACTGGGTCCTCACCCGCGCTCCTAAAATTCAGCTGTACTGCAGGCACACACAAAAGGGTCAATATGGGTTTATTTACAAAAGGGGAAGGAAAAGGAACAACCCAAGGAAAGAGAGAGAGAGATACAAGGTAACAAGAAGATCTTACTGGCTGGGCTGACTTGGAGCTCTGGTAACAAACTAACTGAAAGCCCTGAGTCACGCTGCTCCCAAGCGTCCGGAGACCCATTGCCCGAGTGAGAGAGACCTTTGGACAAAATGGCTCCTTATTTAGCCCCCAAAGTCCCAGAATTCCTGCTTAGCTCCGCCCTTGGGTCCTCGCAGTTCTCTCCTTGGTACTGCTGGGAGTTGTAGTTTCCAATCACTGGAGTAGGGGGCGGAGTCTAGAAAGCTGGAGTAGGGGGTGGAGTCCACAAAGCTCTACAGAGTTCCTTTAGGACATCCTTCCCCTTAACACTGTCACAAGGCCCCATGCAGTCTGGTTGTGCTGGCTGTCACCTGACGCACCAGCGTTAGCAGTGCGAGGGCCCTTGCCTGCCTTCAGGGGCTCACAGTCTGGGGTGCTGTGTGCCTGGGAAGCTGTGGGAGCAGCGAAGAGGCTCTGGAAGAGGAGACTGGAGGAGAGGAGAGGAGGCAGGTCCGGGGCACGTATTCTGGTGACACCTGAAAGAGGAGTAAGTTACCTGAAGGGCTGGTGGTGCCCAGAGGCAGGCGAGCTCCTCGTGGCTGCGGAAGAGCCGTGTCCTGCCAGGGACACCCACAGCAAGGGCCTGGAGGCCTCTGGTTGGGGAGGCGCCTGGACCTGCTGACCGTGTTTTGCCCCTTGCAGGTGGTGGGGCTGCTGGTGTGGGCCCTGATCGCTGACACCCCATACCATCTGTACCCGGCCTACGGCTGGGTGATGTTCGTCGCTGTCTTCCTCTGGCTGGTGACAATCGTCTTCTTCATCCTCTACCTGTTTCAGCTGCACATGAAGCTGTACATGGTGCCTTGGCCACTGGTGGTGAGTTGCGGGGGTTGGGGGGAGGCTCCAGGCTGTTAGCCCTGCCTTGGGGAGCAGCCGTGACGAGGTGACCGACCACATGCAATGTGGCGGACCGTGGGGGAGCTGACTGGAATCTTGTCAGCTGGCCTGAGCGTGCCAACTGGGAAGTGAGGCGGGATGGTTCGGTGTCTGGTTTTCTGAGCGCAGAGGGCCATGTGAGGGAGGACCCCTTTCCCGGGCAGGGAGTAGGGGTGAGGGCTGCTGAGTGACGTGGCCAGTGGCCGTCTGGAATCTTGAAAATGTTTTTCCTTTGTGGAGGCAGCTGCAGCTTAGTCTGTGGGCTGAGAGCCCCTGGCAGGTCTCAGACTGGCAGCCCAGGCCAGGAAGCTGGGCAGAACCGTAGCAGTTACCCAGCACGGGACTGGCCATGGGAGGGCCGACCAAGCGGCTGCCTCCAGGCTCAGGTCCTTGCCGCTGGCCCAGGTCAGTCTCCTCAGGTCACGGGGCTGAGCACGCCCACTGGAAGTACCCTGGCCAGACACAAAAGGCTGCTGGTTTTTTTTTTAGTCTGACCCGGAAAACTCCTGCAGCTGGGGCCTGAGGCTTTCAGCCGGCAGAGAGGCGAGAGAGGCACATGACTGTAAGACAAGCAAGCCTGGGACTAGGCGGCATTGTTTGGGATTCAAAGACTTTTTTAAGCCGAGGAAAAGCCGAGGAAACGTGAGTCATCCTAAGACAGACCCGGTTTGTTAGATCTTGACATCACTGGCAGCGGTGTTTGCCTGACTTCCTGGCCCAGGGTCCAGCCTCTGCTCCATGTCCCAGGAGCCCTGAAGAAAAAGCTCTGAAGATGGAGGCCTCGGTATCTCTGAGGCACGGATTTGGGGGTCCTGCCACAGCTGTTGATGGGAGGAGGCTCTTCTGCCAAGCCGTGACAGCAGGCCAGCTGCCCTTATGTTCCTGAGGCTCTGAACGGCTAGCACAGGGTCTTGAGGGAAGGCTGGCTTAGCACTGCCAAAGTGGGTTTTCTGGGGTGGCGGCTTCAAGCCCCCTCCCCTCCACAGGGCCCAACATGGTATGTGAAGGGTCAGAGGGGGTTCTGGAGCACCCACAGCCACCTGTCGAGAGAGCTGCCCCTTCTCAGCTCTAGCTGCTGTGAGTGCGCACGTGGGCCCCGTGGTGCCAAATATTTTATTGCAAATATAACCTGAAATCTATTCTGGAATGTGATAATAATTAAAAATAATCTATGGGAGGAACCAAATTTGTCTGAGCACCACTGGTTTGCAATCACGGAAAAGGCTGCCGAGGCTGAGCTCAGGCCAAGTGGGCCCTTGGCCCGGTGGCCGGCTGGGAGCCCGGCCCAGCCAGCTTGGAGTTCTGACGCTGGCGTTTGACATGGGGCCTTGAACCTAGGGTGTGGCTAAAGGGAAGACAGGTTCCTCCCACTGGAGGCAGGTTGGACCATGGCCCACCACAGAGCCAACGCTGCAGTGGCCTCAGGGAGGGGCAGGCTGGGCCGAGCCAGTGTGGAGGCGTGGCGGCACTGGAGGTGGCCTGGGCTTGACCTGCTGTTAGAATGGGTTTTCCCTCCCGGCCTCCCACTGCCCCGACCAGCTCACTCAGGGCTCCCCGTAAGCACCGCTCTTCTGGGCCTCCAGTGTTGCCACTTCCTGCTCAAGGGGAGCCCCCCCGCCCCCCAAGGATGCCGCCTCCTGGGGCCCTTATTGTGGAGGGACAGGCTCAGGGTCTCCCTCCCTGCTCTCAAGCCCAGCCTGCTCTGGCTCGCTAAGCCTTTCTCCCGCTGCCCCCAGCTGATGATATTCAACGTGAGCGCCACGGTCTTCTACATCACGGCCTTCATCGCCTGCGCTGCTGTGGTTGAGCTGACATCCCTGAAGGGCTCCCGGCCATATAACCAGCGTGCAGCCGCCTCTGTGAGTACAGGCCCCGGGGTGCCTGGCAGTTACAGGGCACGTAGCCACCCTGTCTGCGCCCTGGCCTCCCACTGCTCCCAGGTGCGAGGGCACATACGTGCTACCTCCTAGGTGCTTATCCAGACTCTGAGTGGGCTTCAGGGAGCTGAGCCCACTTTGGGGGCTCCGTACTTGATAGCAAAACTTGAGAGAACCAGAATGCTTGGGAAACACTTGTGGCGAAGGGACGTTCTGGGTTCGTGGACGGTGGCCGCACAGCTCCTGGAGACTTAAAAACCATCAACCTCCCCCTTTGGCTAAAACTTTTGGATTCCGGCTAGGGGAGTCACAGGCCCTCCCACGAAGCTCCAGCTTGGGTTGCAGGCCAAGCGGCCAGCAGTTCTCTGCAGCTGCCGCAGCTCGCTCCGTGAGGCCCTGCCGGATACTTCCTCCCACGGCCCCTGGACCGCCCCGGTGAGGACAGGCCAGGAGAGCGAGGCTCAGTGGGGTTCAGGTAGCGGAGGCTGCAGCCAGTGCAGGACGCTGTGCTCAGCTTCCTGCGAGGATGGTTCTGAGAGCAACCAACTCTAGTCACTGAGATGAGACAGGTGCTAGTGTGGGTTCCGGAAAATTCCTCAGGTGGCTTTGAAGGCTGAATTTTTAAATGCGGCCCCGGTACGCGTCAAAGCCAGCGCCTACCCTCCGCCACCCGCCCAGCCGCCCTCATCGGTCGGACTTGCCTGTGTAGTTATTCACGGGCTCCCTCTCCACAACGTACCCTCAGCACCCCTGGAAGCTGCGCCCCCCCCCCCCCCCCAAAGTGGTTAAACGAGCACTCGGCTTGGCGGGAGTTGGTGCTGCGCGGCTGTGGCCGCGCCAGGTTTGGGGGTACTCCTCAGGCTGTGCCGGGCGCCTGAGGCCTGCGGCCCTGGGGCTGTCGCTGCCGCGGGGCCCCACTCAGCCTGCCATCTCCTCCCCTTTCAGTTCTTCTCCTGCTTGGTGATGATCGCCTACGGGCTGAGCGCTTTCTTCAGCTTCCAGGCGTGGCGAGGCGTGGGCAGCAACGCGGCCACCAGTCAGATGGCCGGGGGCTACGCCTAAGCCGGCTGGCCACCTCGCTGCAGGGAGCCCGGAGCCAGGCCGGGGCCAGGCGTGGGGTCTGTGCAGAAGGGGCCACACCGGCTCCTCTCTGGCTCGTCGGACTCCAGCTCATCCAACACTCCCAAGGACACAGGATCCTTCCGGGGTCTGGCCCGGTCCCCCAGGCCTGTGGGCCAGAGCAAGGCCAGGGGCCAGGACTCTACCCTCTCCCCCTTATTCAGCAGAAGGTGACGGGGGATGCGGGGATCTCACTGTCTCTGCTTTGCCTGAGGGCCTCTGTGCCCGGACTGGGGCCCAGCCCTCTCACCAGCACTAAATGCACTAACAAGGACTCCAGACCACAGCCCTAGAGTAACCTAACCAGCATCGTGTATTTATCTCAGTCTGTCCGGGAAACACCCAGCTGGCTCCTTCCCCGCCTCCCCCAAGCCAACTGTGGCAGCCTGTAGGGGACACCTGTCAGAAGAGGGTCACGGTTCTTGACAGCCGGTTCCTTTCCTGCACCCCAAGGCATCGGCTGTTTAGAGCCAACTGGTTTTAAGCGACTTGGGCCCCGGGTTCCTCGTTCTTTCTGAAGCAGTTTGTAACCCTTTGGGCAAGGCTAACACGGCTGATCAGGCTGGGGGGGATGAGGGAGGGAGGGAGGGAGTCAGACCTTGCCAGGTGTTACCACACGTGTGGTGATTTGTTTTTTTTACAAAAATAAAGATGGAAAATCTTACTTGAAAACAGTGTTGGTGATTCAAGGTCGGAGATGTTTAGAAGCGCCTGGAGGCTGCGGGAACCGGCAGAGGTTCCTAACTGCGCCCCAGGCAGTGCCCGTCCCCAGGCTTTCAGCACCGCTGGCCACCCGAGGCAGGCTGGCCGCTCCCTGCGGCTCCGTCCGGGAGAGTCCTGTCCTGTGCCGTCTGGCCTCCCTAAATTTAACAGCACCCCTTTTATTCTCACAAGGACCCCACTTTAATATAATGTTACTTAAATCTTAGCTTTAGGCAAGTTAGGTGGTCTTGCTGAACCGAAAATGCCTTTACTGTCAGCTACCTCAAAGGTTCGTGACGCTCAGAGGTCATGGAAGGCAGGTGTCCAGTAGGCAGACGAGGCTACGGGCAGCGGCCGACTCCTCTTGAGCTTGTTTTTCTACCACAGAGCAGCGTGACAAAGGCATTTCTAGGTAGCTCTTGGTGTTCTTTTTTTTTAAAAATTTACTTCTGTGTAGAACTGGGGTGCAGGCAGGCAGATGGACTGAAATCCACTGCTGACGGGAGCAGCGGGGAGACAGGAGGGGACTGCTGCGCCCTGCGGGTCACCTCCCTGGCCGGGATGGAACTCAGGCCTGTGCAGTGGGCCACTGAGGTGACAGCACTGAGACTTAACCCCTAGATCACGAGGGAGGCCCCCCCTGGTCTTTTTGAAGCAAACTGGAAGCAGCTAGAATGTAAACAGATCCAAACAGTTGTAGCTGCCCCTTTACCAAGAAATTGGAAATTAAGCCAGGCCCCACAACCCAGTTGGTCTGGGACAAGCTTGGTTTTTTGGGAGTATGGTTTTGGTACAAAAATCAGCAGTATATTGGCCCTCCCTGGTGGCGCAGCGGATTAAAGCACAGCATCGAGAATCTAAAGCCACTTCCGCATGAGTTCGATTCCCGCCTGCCCCGGAGGTGACCACATGGCGTGGCAGACCTCTCCTGACCCGCCCGCTGCTCCCCTCAGCAGTGGACTTCGCCGATCTGCCTGTTCTGCTCCCCACTCTGTCTTTGGTGAATCCTATCACCCTCCACATCTCTGGCCTGTACCCCAATTCTGTATGAATAAAAAAATAAATCTTTAAAAAAAAAAATCAGCAGTATCCCTTTTTACTGCCAAGTACTGCCAAGATTCTCGGTAATCAAGATTCTAGTAATCATTCTAAGATTCAGCTGCGAGACGAGTTTAGTTTTAAGGGCGATCAACTAATTTTCCTTTGAGGCTTCAGAGAAAACAAAATCCTGGGCAAGTCTTGTCAGGTTCTGCCACTAAGGTCAGTGGACATGTTATGCTGAAACAACTACTTTTCAGCTCAGGCCACTGCCTACCTGATCCTTATTTTCAGACTCGGGGGCGTGGCGGGGCGAACACACGGTCTCCTGTGCTGGGCCCAGCACCAAGTTTTCTAGCCCCAACTAGGCTGTGGTCCCGGCAAGGAAGTGAGTTACATTCCTGTGTGGATGGAGAGACTGATTCTCCAGTTTGCTTTAATCATGACTGGAGGATGACAAGAATCCATTGCCTCCTTTCTCCTCCATGTCTCGTGAGTTCATCTCTGAACTTGCCCACACCTGCCTCAGGCCTCAACCAGGCAGACCCAGCCCTCCTCGGCACAGGCCCCCTCCCCTGCCCCCCCAGCAGTGAGGATGTGAGGCGGTGGCACGGCCAGGGGAGGCGGCTAAAGCTGCCTCTGAACCGGCAGACACGGCAGCGAGACTCCTTTAGAGTGAGGGTTCTTGTACAATGTCCCCAATTTTACCCTGGTACAACAGCATTTAGTAAGTCACCCCAACCTGTGTGCACAGGAAACACACAGCCCGTCATTGGCAACCACAACAGCCCAGTGAAAAGTCGGTACAGATTAAATCTGAGCTCCACACTGGGAACTGGAGCTACTGTGTTTCTTCTAGAGAGGCGACCTGTTTCCAGCCAGTAACGTTCTAGCAAATACTGCGGCACCAAAGCCGACGGGTGGCCCCGTGCCCTCTGCCCGAGCTGAGCGAGGCCGGGAAGAACCGTCTCGGCAGGCAGGTGCTGACCGGGAGCACCGGAGCCCTTCCCAACAGCAAGCCTAACAGCTGCCCCTGACAGAGCGGGCCTGACGCGTCTGCCCAACACAGGAGGGAAGCCGCTCAGCTCGCTGCACCGCCCGGCGCCGGCAGCCACGCAGCACACAGCATCTGGTACTTTGCTCTTTGAGTAATTGTGAAGTGCCAGGATTATGGCCACTAGGTTAGTTGAGCCAGAGTATTCACCTAGAAACATATTTCTTACAAAAATGCTTAGGAGAGTTTTCGTAACAGTGGGACTACTGAGAACCGGCGGGGACACTGGTGTAAGCTAGAGTGGTTTGCACACGTAGTTCTCAGGCAAAGGAAGCTGCTCAGCTGATTCCTACGTGAAATTAGCTCTAAGTACAGGAACTTCAGAAATCTCCAGGTGGGCAGCGGGCCTGAGGAACACCCCAGGTAAATACTCCCAGTCAAAAACCCCTTGGTGGCGGAAGGACGGAAACCTGGGAGCATGTGCAATGCTGTGGGCGTCCAAAAAAAAGATTCACGCAGTCTGCTGGTGGTGGCCTTCTGGGCTGACACAATTTATGAGCTGGGCCGGGCCCGACAGGAACGTTTGCTCCAGAGCCCAGCCGAGGAGAAAGGGGAGTTTGCTGAGGGCGGAGTGTCGGGCTCACTGGGCATGAGGTATGGCAGGAGAACAGGCCCAGGGGTCAGGTAGTTTTCTTTCTGACCATCAATACGTCACATGGACTAGGTGTTACAGTGCAGTTGTTCCAAGATGTCATCTTCAGTCGTTAGTAGCAGAAGCCTCTCCCAGTGTCTACTAGGCTGGAGGCATTGAGACAGGATCCCACCACCCCGTGGAGGGACCTAGGGGCGAAGATTGTTCTGGGACGCTGGCACAGATGATTTGCACAATGAAGTCACCACTAAACCACTGCTTAAGTCCAGCCCACGGCCTTCTTTTTCCTATGTGAGAAAAAAAAAAAAATCAAGAGTGAAGGAATAGGGAACAACAGTTCATCGTGGCTCAGGACCTTGGCCAGCGGTGGGCGGCTAAGGGGGAGGTCTGACCGCCAGCGAGCACACAATGGGGGGGAAGGAGGTTATGCTGCTTTTTTGCTCAACACTAGCCCGGGGCCACCTATCTTGACTGAAGAATATTTTTCTCAAGGGAAGAGGTGTGGGAGGTGGCCTGTGTTCTATTTGGAACTTGCTAAGGAGTTCACTGTAGCTAACTAAACAGGTAAGAGTGACTTACTGCTCTGTAGTCCAGAAACATTTCTTTGAAAGCCAGAAAATCTGTAAATGTGAGCAGCATGTCAAATATGTCACCAGCCACCTCATCCTTATGGTGCCTGCAAAGAGAAGGAAGGCCGATCCGCAGCTGGCTCTGACAGACCCACCAGGAGCCCTATCCTTCGGCATTTTCTCTAAGCCTTGACCTTCAAGCACCTGAAGAAAAACAAAAGTGTCCTTCCTCAGACTGAAGGAGGAAGGTTTAAAAAAAAAAGCGTCGTGCTCGACTCACTGTAAAGTTGTAGTGAACGCCGCCATGTTAAATCCAGGAATCCGCTCCAACAGCTGTTCTTCGATATACTTTTCTACCAAAGAAATCTGTAACAACAAAGGGACCCTGGTCAGAGGCTTCTGCAAGTCCGCCCTGCTCTCCCTGCTGGAACTGCTGGAGGGAACCAAGCCCCAGTCCCGACCTCGCGCAGTCTTTGGCCTGGCCTCTCCCCAGCGCTGGGGAGCCGCCTTCCAGGCCCTTCTGCTGTGGCAAGGCACACGCGTAAGTGACGCGAGCCAGGAGCAGTGGACTTACACCCCTCCAGGCAGGCAGCCCAGTAGGGTTTTCCTGGCTGATGGAGTCGTGCAAGAGGAACACACAGAATCCCACGGCTGGAGGCGCTCGCTGGTTCCGGCAAGCCGAGGCTCTACTAGAGGAAACTTGCTCCTGCCACAATGTTAAGCAAACTCCTGAGGCAAAGGTTTGTCCTCACTGAAGGAGACCCTTCTAGGAGGCTGCCTGATGTTTAGAAGAGGCTGTGATTGCAGGCTTCAAAGTCTGAGTTTGCTAACTAGTGAGTGATCTGGGTCACGTTTGATCTCTACCTAACCGTCATGCATACTTGATTAGATTATGTAACAGAACATTTTTTTTTTTAAGCAAAAAGGTCAAAAGTATATAAATACAAGTATGTGGACTATACCTGTTGTGACTGAAAACAGCATTATAATAAAGCCACGCATGTTTTTTTAAAAAAGATTTATTTATTCATACAGAACTGGGGTATAGGCAGAGGAGTCACCAGAGACAGAGTGGGGAGCAGAACAGGCCAAATGACACAGTACACTGCTAAGGGGAGCAGCGGGCAGGTCAGGAGAGGTCTGCCGGGCCATGTGGGATCATCTCCGGGGTGAGCAGGGATCAAACTCATGAGGAAGTGGCTTTAGCTTCTTAAGTGCTGTGCTTTAACCTGCTGTGCCACTAGGGAAGGCCCCAAACCACACATCTTTTAAAACAGAAGTTGAGGACTTAACCCCTGATGGCCTAGGGGTTAAGTCTCAGCTCTATCACCCTATCACCACCAGGGCCTGAGTTCAGTCCCTGGCCTGGGAGGTGACCCCTGGGGCGCAACAGACCTCTCCTATCTCCCGCTGCTCCCCTCGGCAGTTTTTCAGTCCATCTGCCTGTCTGCTCTCCATTCTGTCTCCGGTGAATCCTCTCACCCCGACACCTCTGGCCTATACCCCGTTTCTTCTACGCAGTACATAAATCTTTAAAAATAACAAGTAAAACAGAAGTTGGCAAAATGATCAAATATTTGGAAGAGAGCTCCAGGAACTGTGCAGAGGGAAATGACAGGAGATGAGAACTCATCCTGACTCTAACTGAACTCCTGGCATGTGCCCGGTGGCAGACTTTATAAGTAGAGCAAATCTCAACATCTTTGGATCTTAAAGTCCCATTTTAAAGAAATCCTAATCTCCACCAAGAGATAGAAATCCACTTACATATTCATTAAAAATAGGCGTGTAGGTGAGTTTATTCTCTTCCGTGTCTTCAAACTCCTGGTAGTACTTGTCCATGAAATTTCTCTGTAATAATTGGAACTCGTCATCTGAACCACAATGGGAAAAAATGCATTATTTTTAGCAGAGATGGAAGCCCATTCTGATATAAGTAGCTTAAGTCAGTTATTTATGTATACAGGAACTGGGGTGTAGATCAGAAGTGTGAGGCACGAGAGGATTCACCAGAGTCAGAGTGGGGAAAAGAACAGGTGGACTAAAATCCACTGTGAGGGGAGCAGCGGGGAGACAGGAGAGGTCTGCTGCGCGATGTGGGTCACTCCCTGGCCGGGGATCGAACACGTGCTGCAGTGACTGCTGATAGCCTCACGATGCTGTGCTTTAACCTCTTGTGCTTCCAGGGAGGGCCGAAGAGATGTCTTAAGGAAATGTTTAAATGGGACATCAGTACTGTAATAGATTAACTCATCTGACTAATTTTTAAAAAGTGGTAAAATACACACAGCAATTTCACATGGGTGGCTCCGGACACCCTCAGAGTACTTTTCCACAAAGGAAAGAACTGGTTCTTTCATTTTTGTGTAAAAGGAACTGGGGCACTGGCCAGAGGTGTGGGGCTGAGAGGATTTACCAGAGACAGAGTGGAAAGGAGGAAAGGTAGATCTACTGAAACATATCACAGAGGGGAGCAGCGAAAAGACAGGAGAGTTCTGCTGAGCCATGTAGGTCAGCTCCCTGGCTGGGGGTCGAACTCAGGCTGTAGTGTTGATAGCGCTGGGACTTAACCCCTAAGCCACCAGCAGCGGTGGTGAAAACAGTGTAGCGTGGGCTGACAAAGGCTAGACCACCTGGGATGACCCACTTACTGTGTTAGCTGAGGCATGTGACCTGTCTAACGGTCTCCTATCTAGAAAATGAGGATGACCAGTCCCTACTAGGATTATGTGGGATTTAGATGAGAATGCACGTAAATGAATTCACAGAGGACACTTTAGTGTTAGGGAGTAGGATACTTGAACAACTGAAGAGAATATTTCTAAAAAGGCGAGTGTCGACAAATGAGCCAGACTTTGGAATACTCTAGGCTTCCAGCTAGTTTATTTTTGCCACCGAAAACATGGGGCTGATAAAGAGTAAAAGGACAGAGTCTCCCTAATATCCTCCAGAAACCCTGAGGTGCAAAGGAGACAGGAGCTTAATGGTGAAATACCTGTTTAGGAGTTAAGCTCATGAACTTTTATAGGACCTGAAGGCATAAAAACTGGGTCAGTAATTTTCAGATGACTAGACTAAGAAATGCAGCCAGGCAACACTAAATGACAGTGTTCTTTTCCTAATTGTCAGAAAATGCAGTCAATACAAAATGCTTCTCAAATTTAAGTTTCTCTCCATATCATTTGAATTAAAGTCTGCTACCTGTTACTGCCTGTGTTGCTTAGGGCTATGGACCCCAATATGGGTCCACAGATACAAAACTCGGAACCCAGGAGAATACAGAACCAGCTTAAAGATGACGCTGTTCAGGAAGAGGGCCCTGTTTTCTTCACACACATGTGCTGTGGTTCTGCTGTGTTCCAAGACATGAAATGTGAATACTCCATGACATGGCCCTTAATTACTGTGAAATAAAGTAGGTCTTTCTCCTGACAAGAGCTGGGTAGCAACTTCCTGGCCCCATTACTTGAGTAAGTCCTTTCAGGCTCTGAATTGCTGGCTATTAGCCGTTTTAAGGAGGACTGGCGGATTGCTTCTAAGACAAGTCACACTAAGCCTTACTGAATACTGCGCTGTGCCACCTTACACGTTATGCATAGCTTGCTGTCTCCTTTCATTCACAAATTAACTCTCCAAATTAATTTCAGTGTCCATAAAAGCAGGAGTCTAAGAACTAAACAGAGCAAAGATCAAGTCGTGGCACGGAGGCTTACCCATGATGATATCCTCTAAGTAGCCAACCACAGTATCAAATTCTGCATCGGAGGAGGAAGAGCTACAAAAAATGCCTGGGTTAGGTGCTGTTTCAAATTAAAAAAAAAAAAATTACTAAGATGCTTTCAAACATGCACAAAAGCAGAAAGACTAGCAAAATGAGCCCTCCACCCCCAGCTTCAATTAAGAACGGTGACTTTCTAATCTAGCAAACCCAAACAGAAGAAACCACCCAACTTTCGGGAAAGCAGGCAGGGCACCAGGAGGTACAAAAGGCCCAAAAGAGGGAGCAGAGGGCGCTTCCGCCCAAGTCTCCGCTTTTACACTGCTCTCACCGCATCCTCGCAGTCACCCACACTCTGCGCCGGCGGGCTGAAGCCCGGGGGTCGGGGACAGCTAGATCAGAGCCCCGGCGCCGGCGTGGACGGTCCTCCGACCTCGAGGCTCCGCCAACGACCGGGGGCCAGAGGCCTGGGGCTGCGATGGAGGCGTTGGGCGTCGCGCGGGGCCGCCCCGCAC